ACTGGCCCTGTTGGTATTATCATTGTGCTTTTCCTGGGTGAAGCAGATCGGTCGCCAGCCTCTAGACAGCCGCTCACAGGGGCCTAGGGCAGCTCACTGCTGCCCCACTGCAGCCTACACCATCGCTGGCAACTCACAGCTGCCCAGCTCCAGGTGGAGCTGTTGTTCACCATCTTAGCTGTAGAGGGCGCAGCGTCACTGGCCCTCATGTGAGATCTGAGCCGGGGCCCTGCTGCTCAGAGCTGGTGTCCCAAGCCAGCTCTTAACCAATGTGCCACTCAGCCGGCCCTTTATATACAACTTTTAAAAACCATATTTACTAAGATTACTTAATGAAAATGTTATTTACATAACATGAGATGAAAAGAGCAGGCTGCCAAACAGATTAAACAGCATGATTTTGTAAAATATGCAAATACTTATGCAGGAAAATAAACATGAACTATACTAAAATGTTAATACAATTGAACGCTGAGTAGTATGAGTATGGGTAGTTTTAACTTTTTAATTTCTTTGCTTTGTAGTCTCCAGATTTCTTTTACAATGAATTTATAGAATATTTATAATTATAAATTGCAACTATTTGTAGTATATTTTATACTTTCTCCTAGTTAGTAAGTAACAATTGATGCCATCTATCTCCGAACCCGTGCTTTACCCTGTGAGCCTGGGCTAGAAGTCGTCCTTTTCATGGGACAGGCCGAGAGGGGCTATGACCCCCTGCGCACCCCTTTTACTCTGACCTGTGCTGTGCTGTGCCTTAGGGGTTTGCCTCCTGCAGAACCTTTGCCCAGACCACCTAGCACCTGGAAGCTAGTACAGACAGGTGTGGTTACCACGTCACCCAAAAATCATCCCAAAGCGGCCTCCTTAACGGCCGTGCGGTGGAAGCGGGGGCGAGCACTGGCGAGAAGGCGCGAGCGCGGCGGGGGGAACGGGGCGCCCTGGGCCGGAGGGGGGGGGGCGCCGCTTGTTTTCCAAGCTCAGGATTGCTCGCTCAGGAGCGCGCACCTACCGCTGGCGGCGGCTCGGGGGCGGGTCCTGGTGGCGGGGCGGAGCGCAGGGCGGGNCTCCTGGCACCCTCCCTGGGATGGCACAGCCCCTACCCTGACCACTGGCACTGGCAGAGCACTGCAAAGACTTCCAAGTGGGGCCGCAGCCGTTGTGTCTTTTGGTTGCCAGGCGGTCACCCTGAGACAGGCGAGGGAAGCCCTGCGCTGCCTGCTTTCCAACAAACACCGAGGTCAGTGAAGGGCCCTGTCCGAGTGTGCTATGGGACGGCTGCAGAGCTCACAGAAGCCAGACAACCCTCTGCCGAGTCTCCTCGTTGGATTCACTTGAACCGGAAACCCTATGGAGGCGGCAGCTCCAGCAATCAGCACATGACCGGGTGAGCCCACCCACGGGCCTCCCAAGGCTCGGGGGACCCATGGCTGTGTGAAGACCCGCGGAGAGCCTTTCAGTCATGAGGCTAGACTGTGAAGACGCTTTTCCAGCCGAAGGCTCAGCTCAGCCCGTTGTTTCTCTCTATACCCTACTCACCCACAGGCTTGAAGCCCTAAAGAATCCAGTTCAGGTCTTGGCTGGAAACTCAGGCTCCAACAGCCGACTGTCCCAGGCGTTCCTCCTGCTGATCACGCTGATCAAGAACTGACCGGGCGGCAGATAACCAAGGAAAAGCAGCAACATGCCCATTAACCTCCCAGGGCCATGTTCAGGTGCAGAGCCCACTTCAGGGGGCCTGAGGGGAACCCCTGAGGAGCGCCAGGTGGCACCAATGTTGCTGGGCCTTGGACCACACAGTGCCACGAGTGTGACAGAAATTATCTCATTCCATCACTCCTGGAATCCGGTAGCTTCCAGCCTTCCCTCCCGCCCTTCAAGCCCTGAGCTTGCTGGTAGGTACCCCCCCCCCGGAATTATGTTTGTTTCCCCTCAGCCCCCCC